CGAACTTGTCGTTGTTCTTCTGTTTCAGTCATTCGGCTCGCGCGACTTCGTTCCTTCTCTTTCTGTAGACGAATTTGTCGATGTTCTTCTGTTTCGTTCATTCGACTGGATCGGCTTCGTTCGCTTTTCTTCTGAAGTTGAATTTGACGTCTTTCTTCCTTATCGTCCTTTTCCTTTTCCATTGTACTTGAAACATTTGTTTGAACGAAATCATTTCCGCTGTTGTCTTCACTTCGTAATCGTCTACTCAGAGAAGACTGAAATTCAGGTACTCTTATTTGAGTAACTGCATTGTTCTTGAACGTCTTCTTTTCAGGAGTCTAGAGAAAAGTTTCAAGGTTCTGATTTTTATATTTACAAATAGCTAACTTACTACAACAAGTGACACTGATTGACTACTAAATTCATTAAGAATAGGTGGCGACAGAAGTGGAACAAAATGATTTGGTCTCCATGTGTCATTATACGTTTCTCGAGCATCTTTTTCGTGCAAAGTGTTTGACCATAAGATTGCAATGTTACAATTGCCAATAACAGGTGGAATAGGTGTAAAGACGCTATCCCAAATTGCCTTATAATATTGAAAATCAATTTTTGGATAAACACTTCGTATGTTACATTGTAGTACATTGCATAATGCAGCAATTTCATGTAATTCAGAATACATTCCCTTTCTGCAAGCTGCTTGAATAATAATATCGGTAGTTCCTGCATGTTGTGAATACATGGTATCGTAATAGTTTTCATTGGTTATAAGTTCAATAACCGTTCGAACTAAACAAATTTTCAAAACTAAATTTAGCGTAACATCAAAGAAAAAGTCAATACCTCGCAATTCAGTGGCCGTCACTAATGGATTGTTCATCAAAAGAACAATAGAATGATATAAACAATGTCCATCGCCAGGAACGTCAATAGGAACAAGATGATGTGTGTCATCACTCGCTTTTTGAAGGTATTCCTTAGCGACCACATCTATTTTATGCTTTGCTTCATCAAAAACATAAGTCGGATAAAATTGAAATGGTCTCATAATTGAATCCATCTAAAATACCTTTAATTTTTAATTAAATCGTCATTTGAATATACTCACTTGTTTAATTCGCTGTACAACAGAATTGATTTTATCGCGGTACATGACATTTTCAGAGCATCTTTCTAGACGCTGAAGTAAACGTTCAAATTTTAAACTACGAGTCATTTGATTACATTGTGTGCAACAATAACTTGCACACAACATAGTGCAGAAAACGCATTGTTTGTCCATATTTCGTATCTATATGATAATCTAAAAGATAGAGTATTTTTCATGAAAATGAACTGTTTCAAAATTTCTATTAAAAAGTTTTTTCAAGATTAAAGTATGCATATTGGTTTTGAACAAATTTTGTATACTATTAAATCAATAAATACAAAAAATGCAGTATCATCTGTTCTTTAGATTTCCATTTGAGTTCTAGATTTTTCCATGGTCTTCTTTAGGTTTAATGTAATGTGAAGGTAGAAGCTTATCTACATAATGTTCCATCTTATAATGAAGATCATAGAAGAAGTTAACATGTATCAAATCAAATTTTTGGTTGCATTTTTCCGTATTCAAAAGAGTTCTTTTCTTTTTAATTCTCGTGGAAAAATAGCACGTCGTCCAATGTTGAAAAAAAGAACACTAACAGCGTAATGATCATTCTTCTCAGCTATATATATGAGCAATCAAATTCAAAATTTTTGAAAAAAACGGACATTCCGATATTTGAAAACAACAAAAACGTCAACATCTTATGTAATGCATATATTTGCATGATAAGTCATGGATTTATCTTTTCAGATAAAACATGATTATTGTCAAAGTATATATGATTTATTATGGGATGATCGAATAAAAACATGAATCGATTCAAGGAGTTGCGTAATGATCATATATCTTATCCTATCTATCTAATATTTATGAGATGTCATAAATTAATTCCTTATCTTGCTAACAATATGATTTTTCATTTAAAGAAGACGTTTTTCAATTTTTTAAATAACTATCATTGCTTGGTTTGATACTGATAATGAAATATAAAAATAAAATAAAATGCAATATACAAATAGGATGTGCGATCATTTTCTCATTAGACAGATTTTTTCATAAAAACTGGTCGATACAATTATATGTATGGTCGTTTCGGATATTTAAATTAAGATAAATGGTCAATCTGTCATAATCAATCGTAAAAATAGACGAAGAAAATTCGATTTCAATATGTTTGAACTCTTAAGATATACATGATTATATTCGTGAAAAAGATATATAATGAAATAATATTATTCAAGTTTCCCATTCTTAATTTTTAATCATTAGAATGCATTCAATATCGTATTTCTCAAAATAGAATTCAAGAACATATCAAAAGACAATCGACAGATGTCAATAAACGCATGAGATCAGAAAAAATTGAAACGTTTGACTTTTTATGTGCCGACTTTTTTGAATGGAAGAAGGTAAACGAAAGATCGTTATTCATCACGTTAAGTCAATTAAAAAAAAACTAACTTTTTGATTTTTTTCAACCTTTCACTTTTATTATGTTCATCGCGATATCGTATTTGAGGTCATATAAAAAAAATCATACTCAAGTTCATATACTATAACACATATGATCGATAAATATACACTAAAACTCGTGAAATTGTCGAACTGATTTCTTATTAAAACAAATGCAGCCGAATGTATCATTCGAATCGATAAAGTAAACTAACGTTATGAGAAAGAAACGATGAAAATAAAGAAAAACCTTAATTATGTTACTGTGAGATGAAAAATGATAAGGTAATAAAATAATTCAACAGTTAACGATAGAATCTCATAGTTATGTTGGAATAATGAATATTTTTTATCAATAAATGTTAAAAATGAGGAAGAAAGAAGGAAAGAATAATCAATAATTGATCAAATTCATAATAAAGAGATTTGGTTTTTCTTTTTTTTTTGAATATTACATAAGATGCATCGTTATTTGCAGAAGAAATTGTTTCTGCATATCGAATGTTCATTTCTTAACGTTATGATCGCTGTCAATGATATCGCTTTTGTTGAATTTTATTTGAAAATCAAAATTTAATGAAAAGAAAGACGAAACTTCTTCTTCTGTTCGAAGAGTCAACTAACACATCTATTTTGTCCCAAAATGAAAAAAATTTTCGAAAGAATTTTTCCATTTTTTTTTTAAATGGAAACACCAAATCGACTGTGATATGTCTTTCATTTCTTTAAATGAAATCTTACTCTATTCGTTAAATTAAATTGATATTTGCCCTGATTTGAACAAAAACGAACATGACTTACCTTTATATTATCGAGATAAAAATTATTATTTCGAGAAATAGGAAATTTATCGATAAAATGATCAAAATTAATAAAAGATAACATCTTTACTTGATATAATAGCAGCTATAATCTTAGAACATGAATAATCTTCGATTCTTGATGTTTTGTA